AAACTTTATCTACTGGTAGGAACGTAGTACTGTGTGTTTTTAAGCTTTATTGAACACTACAAGTTAAACTTGTTCCTACTAGTAAATGATTTACGTTTATAAAAGTTTAAAAACACAGTATTACAGACTTATTCCTACCTTACATTCGTAACCATTAATCATTTCTGTTTTATTACTTCTCCAGCCCCAGATCCCAGATTTACTCCTGCAAACAGATAACATTCACAATATGATTTAAGAGTTCATATTCAAGTATGCAAAGATAAAGCATAGTTTTTAACACTAATAAATATTTCACTTACAGCACACTGCCATTTTTTTATCGATTTTTATGTGCAACCTGAAGAATAATAAAAGTGTAACTTACAATGATAATTAAATTTTTCATTAATAACCAAGTTCTATATTTGTTAAAAAAATTGTAAAGATGACTGCAGCAGTCTTAAAAGTAAAGTGGAGAAAAGTATTTGTTAATTAAGAGGGGAGGGAGGGATAAACCTACCTTTCAAAGCTTATTTTGTCAATGTTGATACAAGTTGTAATGATAGGGGTGGTTAGTCGGGTGGACACTGCTTCAGTAGGTGAACGGAGAGTGCTAGAAAAGTCTGCTACATGTGGAGGTACTACCCCCATCTGTTCAACATAGACCTGGCCCACCTCGTGGTCGACTTCCATCATTACTGCACCATCATCTAGAGACAGGAAAATCAAACAGTAAATAAAAGAAAGAACATTCGGAGCACTTATAAATACTTGCGAGGGAAAATACAGAACGTGCATTTTAGCATCACCTTCAGCTTTTAGTGCCAAGAAGAGATTCCAAGGAAACGCCACCTGTAGCTCTAGAAAATGAGCAGTGAGACCGATTATACGATCTCTTTACAGATAAGTAACTTAATATATGAAATATAAAGTTGTGGTATACATTGTATTCAACCCTATCCATGGAAAATTAAATAAGAGTTTGGATGTAAAAATGTCACATCAGCTGCGAGTCTTCAAAAACAATTTTTTTTGTTCACTCGCATCTCTGAATTTTGTATTAAAAATTAAAATATTTTATTAGTATTTACATATCTACTTTGTACATTCAAGCAAACCACCTTCATCATCAACTATCTCAACACAAATTTAATGATGATGGCAAAAAAAACGATGCACAAGACATTAAAAGCATTTCATTACATAAACTCATTATTAAGTACCCAGAATGCTATTTCTTGCTCAAATCACTATAAAACAAGAATAAAGAAGAGGAAGACAATGATATACTGCATGCAATGAAAGGACTAAAATCTATCAAACACAAATCTAGTAAGTTTTGGAAACTACTAATTGCCATCATCAGATTCAAACTGGATCGTCGAAACATGCAGGTCAGTGTTTGTAAATTTTAACGACTTCAATACATACAGTATAACATTGTTCCTTTCAACGACTTCAATACATACGGTATAACATTGTTCCTTTCAACGACTTCAATACATACGGTATAACATTGTTCCTTTTAACGACTTCAATGCATACGGTATAACATTGTTCCTTTCAACGACTTCAATACATACGGTATAACATTGTTCCTTTCAACGACTTCAATACATACGGTATAACATTGTTCCTTTCAACGACTTCAATACATACGGTATAACATTGTTCCTTTCAACGACTTCAATACATATGGTATAACATTGTTCCTTTCAACGACTTCAATACATACGGTATAACATTGTTCCTTTCAACGACTTCAATACATACGGTATAACATTGTTCCTTTCACTTTCCTTCTTTCGTATTGATTTTTAAAGGCTAATTTATTATTAGTTCTAGAGAACCAAAGTTTATTAACATTACTTTATTACAAGTTATAACTTTTACATTAAGGAAAACATTTTTAAAACAGGTACGATGTTTCGATCACTGGTGCGATCATTCTCAAACTTGTGTACTTGAGAATGATTGCACCCGTGATTGAAACATCGTACCTGTTTTATAAATAACACTTATAATTGGTAAGAAAACCCAAAATGAACGTTTTTTTAATGTTAAGTCATTCTCACAGTTACAATCATTAAGCATGAATCATTAATTAAAAAACTGTACACGTTAATACTGTTAATTACAGCCTTCAGTACACAGAAAATAAAAAGTGGTACCCACTGTGGCCTTTAAATATGTAGCTTCTGCTCCCTCTCTGCCAATTGGAATGGTCAAACCCCAACAAACTGGTGTCTATTCTAACATTGGACCCTACAGAACAAATCATATCTTTAGAATGCAGGTAAGAACAAATCATATCTTTAGGATGCAGGTAAGAACAAATCATATCTTTAGAATGCAGGTAAGAACAAATCATATCTTTAGGATGCAGGTAAGAACAAATCATATCTTTAGAATGCAGGTAAGAATAAATCATATCTTTAGGATGCTAGTGAAAACTCTAAAAATAACCTTTTTGTGGTATTGTAGCATTACTGTCATTAAACGTGTAATCAAAACAGTTTGTTGATAGCATAATATACATAAATATAAGCAGTTACAACTCAACAAATATGGTGAAATAAGAGCTGCATTTAAACGTCTGGAGTCGAGTCGAAGACTTTAGGCACTGATTCTTAGTCTTTCGTCCATGTGTGTGTGTGTGTGTTAGTAATACAGAGATAACGGTAAAACTTGTGTACTTAAGAATGATTGCACCAGTGATCAAAACATTGTACTTGTTTACAACACCATAAGTTAACCACGGGTTTTGACAGCTAAGTAATCAAGATTTAATTTTAGTAGAACATTATGTTACATCTAATGTTTTCTGGATACAAAAAAAGACCAGTACAGATATCTATATAAAACATTATTAAAAATAATTAAAAGAATATAGAATTCTAAATAAAAAGGAAAATCCTTGAAAACAATTTAAAAGTGGAAATTAATTAAAGCCTGCAAAGATTTACGAAGTTATTTAGAAAACTGAGGAAAAGTGGATCTTGGACTCATAAATTGTCCTGCAAAGACAATGAGGGTAGTTAAACAAAACCATAATACTAATTAAAAAAAATAGAAATAACGTTTCTGGGTCATCTTTAATGGTCAAGATGAACTATAAAATAGTTTCATGCAGTGTAAAAGGCATACATGTGAAACTGAGCCACAAAAGCAGTTTCACAATTGTTAAACATGTGCTAAGTAATAATACAGATGAATCTATAACAAGTTAGTTTTTGAATCAACTTTTTACTTACGGAAAGTAAGACTGTAAAAGGTGGAAAAAAATAGGGGGAGGGGCTTATCTTTGTCAAGTTGTTTACCTTAACTGGAGTTTCCTATTAGAATTTATTTATAATAATTTTTAATGCAGCATAAACTATTTGAAATTTAACATACAATTATTAATGAGTGGCTGGGTCAGAAAACCTAGTAGTCGGACCATACTAATCTATAGGATCATCTATACATGAAGATCTTTGATCTACAACAAAAAATGATGTATGTTAGATATATTAGTAACTTTATCAGAGATCCATCCAAAGTGATGCTTTTCAATAGTCTTTAAACAAAACGAACGCTTGGAAATATAAGAAATAACATTAGGTAATTGATTTTAAGAATTCCACACAGGTTACAAAAGTTTCCTTAACAGCTTTACCAAAGATTAGAAAATAGGGCCCGTTTAATTATTTTGTTCTGTACTAACCAATGTAACCAAAACAGTAGCAAATTTGACCTTGTATAAAAACTTTAGAACATAATGTACTCGTGCTCATAACCAGAGGGATAACTTAAAGACAAATACAGTCCCAAAACGTTTGGTGTAACAGAAATAGTAATAAATCATTAACTTCTAAGTTGAGTACTGTGAAGGTATTGCATAAACAAATATCTTGCAAGGCTGGCAAGAAACAACTTTATGGGATTTTGGATATAAAAGCTATGTAAAATGGACATGCATTTCAGTACTACACATATTTATGTATTTAAAACACTTCCAATTCTCATGATAAATTGTACTGGTAAATATTTTGTGTAGCATCTTCATTTGTTTACAGATCACTGAAAATTGAATTTGGAGATTCCAAAATTCTTAATTAAATATGTTTACAACTGTTGCCATGGTACATCTGTTTTGGTTTAAACTCCAGTTTCCACCTGGTGAACCTACAGATAAAGCATAATGTGACTAACCTAAGCAGTTATAACAATTTGTTCTTTTTTTTTGTTGTTAATAATTAAACCAAGTAGGTTTGATTCCATAAAGTATACATTTAATCTAAACATAAAGATTACAATTTTGAAATGCTTTTATTCTACACAATTAATGTCTCTTTGTAGATTTACTAAATACAGTGGATGTTTTTTTTTTATATAATTTAGTCATGACATGTCAATGAATGATCACCGTCAAGTTCCCCAAGTTTCCGAATAGGGGGAAACGGTTCTTACTGTAACGTACGTAAGTGTTAACTTCAGCCACTGTTTACAAACAAGTTACTAACTTTCAAAACTCTTGTAATCTTTAGATAATAATTTTAAAAACCTAATTCTATTAGTCAGGCAGAACAACAAACTGACAGTAATACATTTACAAAGAAAATATGATAATATCATCCAGGTACACATAACTCTGTCTTCATAGAACTCCAAAGTATAATATAATGATCACACTGTTTATATGTAATTAAATTTTACTAATTGTTACTGTAATCATAAATACAATTACAGGAATAAAGTATACTTCTTCTGTAACAACCAAGTTAATACCAAAACTGTATTATTATGTAACCAATACAAAGTTCATTTCTAGTATTGTAAAGATAAATTTGTTTGTTATTAAGCAAAAAGCTATACAATGGGCTATCTGTGCCATGCCTATCAAAGGTATCGAAACCTGATTTTTAATGTTATAAGTCTTCAGACTTACTTCTGTTCTATTGGGGGGGGGGGGGGGGGGGGG